CTCACGTGAGAAGTTCGCACGTGTGTGAAGGTAAGCAAGCAAGATATAGAAGACACGTACGACGTTCCGTTCCGTATGTGTGTGAAAGAAGGAAACGTTGCGAGCATTATGTGTTCTTACAACCAAGTTAACGGCGTTCCGACATGTGCCGATCCTAATCTCCTGAAGAAGACCATACGCAACCAATGGGGTCTAAACGGGTAAGATCACGCCACGTCAGCTACAAGATTTGATAATATCATTGACCGTTGACTTTTTTTATTATTATCATTGAAACAGATACATCGTCTCCGATTGTGATTCTGTTGGTGTTCTGTACGATACACAACATTACACTGGTACTCCTGAAGAAGCAGCTGCCAAATCCATCAAAGCTGGTATTTTAAATTTTTAATTGTGTTAGCTAATTACAATTTTTTTGTGTTTGTAAGTGATTACTAACCTTTGCGTATTGTTGTGTAGGCTTGGATTTGGATTGTGGGCCATTTCTAGGAGCCCATACAATAGATGCGGTGAAGAAAAACCTATTGCGTGAGTCAGACATCGACAATGCCGTAGTCAATACGTTAACAGTACAAATGAGACTAGGTATGTTCGATGGTGATATAGTGGCTCAACCGTACGGACACCTTGGACCGGCACATGTCTGTACACCGGTTCACAAAGGACTAGCTCTCGAAGCAGCACATCAAGGAATCGTCCTTCTCAAGAATCGCGGCCCGTCTCTACCTCTCTCGCGACTCCATCACCGAACCGTCGCTGTAATCGGACCGAATTCCGACGCGACAGTCGCAATGATTGGTAATTACGCAGGGATTGCTTGTGGATATACCAGTCCGGTTCAAGGAATAGCAGGTTATGCACGAACGGTTCACAATGAGGGTTGCGCGGACGTGCATTGCATCGACGATAGATTGTTCGATGGCGCGGTTGAAGCGGCCCGTGGAGCTGATGCAACGGTTCTTGTGATGGGTTTGGATCAATCTATTGAAGCTGAGTTTAAAGACAGAAACAGTTTGCTTTTACCTGGGAAACAACAAGAGCTTATCTCTAGAGTTGCTCGGGCCTCTAAAGGCCCAGTTATTCTAGTCTTGATGTCTGGTGGGCCTATAGATGTATCTTTCGCAGAGAAAGATCCGAAGGTTTCGGCTATTGTTTGGGCCGGGTATCCGGGTCAGGAAGGCGGAACGGCAATCGCCGATATATTATTCGGCAGTGCTAATCCCGGAGGAAAGCTCCCGATGACTTGGTATCCGCAAGATTATTTGACGAATTTACCGATGACGGAAATGTCGATGAGACCGATCAAATCGAAGCAGATTCCGGGTCGGACTTACCGGTTTTATGATGGTCCGGTTGTTTACCCGTTCGGACATGGTTTGAGTTACACGCGCTTCACTCACAGCATCGCCGACGCGCCTAAAGTGATACCTATAGCTGTTCGTGGTAGAAACGGTACCGTTTCAGGGGCCATACGTGTAACGCACGCTAGGTGTAACCGTCTCTCACTCGGAGTCCACGTGGATATTACGAACGTAGGATCGAGAGATGGGACCCATACCATGCTTGTTTTCTCAGCTCCGCCAGGTGGAGAGTGGGCCCCGAAAAAACAGTTGGTTGCTTTTGAGAGAGTACACGTGGCGGCTGGTGAGAAGAAGCGTGTGCAAGTGAATATACACGTGTGTAAGTATTTAAGTGTAGTGGATCGTGCTGGGATCCGAAGGATTCCGATTGGTGATCATGGGATTCATATTGGAGATGAGACTCATACAGTGTCGCTTCATGCTTCCACTCTTGGAGTCATCAAGTCTTGACTGTTTTTTTTTTTAATACAAAAAAGAATTTTAAGAAAATCTAAATGTTTCTAAAGAAACGAATTAGATTGTTGTGTAATCTGTAAGGAGAAAAAAGAAAAAGAAATCTGATTCTTATGATTCAAAAATGTATTTGAAATTGAGTTGTATGGCTTCTGGTTTTCGAAAATAAAGTAAGAGAACAAGAAATAGAGTAAAAAATTAGACTCCTTTGTACATGTGTGGAAGTTATAAATGGGGAAAGTATATCCTCGACATTGTGCTTCCTTTTTCTAACTATTCAATTCTGCTTATTACTCTATATATTTGCGCACCATTCTGTTTTTTCTAGTGTGCATGCATGCAGTGTATATAATCTAGTTAGATCTATCTTTCTTTTTGAAGTTTAATACTTAGATCTATAAAGGTTCCATAGAGTACTCTACATAAATTATATTTGATAAAATCCCGATTCCTTACTTTTTCCCCACGAAAACAAGTTCAGAAAGGGAATCCAAGACACTATGTTATGACTTATATACAAACATCTCTTGATCTGTACTTCCAAATATTGCCATTAATCATCTTGGATTAGTAT